ATTGTAGATACTGAAAACATCAAATACATGGAATTATGTAGCAAAGAAAAATTGATAAATAATTCTAAATATGTTTTATATGTTAGATTCCTGAAAGAGCCGCCCTTTCCTTTGTTGACAGCGCTGCAAACTCTTGGCCTTTTCTCAGTGAGCTTCACGATGTAGTCACCTTTAATGGTTTTCACTCACAGGTGTACGTTTGCCAGAGTTCAAACGTTACGTTGAAACTGGTTCACATGAGCACCGCCCCAAGACCAAGAATCACCTCTGCCGCTAAGGATAAAGTCATCTGCATCAGAAATCACAAGTTAACAGCACCTCAGATTAGAGCCCAGATAAATGCCACAGAGTTCCAGGAGTAGACACATCTCTACATCAACTGTTAAGAGGAGACTGTGTGAATCAGGCCTTTATGGTCAAATAGCTGCTAAGAAACTACTACTAAGGAAAAACAACAAGCAGAAGAGATTAGTTTGGGCCAAGAAACACAAGGAGTGGGCATTAGACCAGTGGAAACATGTGCCTTGGTCTGTTGACTCTAAATGTAAGATCTTTGGTTTCACTCGCCGTGTCTTTGTGTGACGCAGAAAAAGTGAACGGTCTCTACATGCATGGTTCCCACCGAGAAGCATGGAGGAGGTGTGATGGTGTGGGGGTGCTTTGCTGGTGACACTGTTGGAGATTTATTCAAACACCTCCAGGCTGTGTGAGGGCTGTTTGACGAAGAAGGAGAGTGATGAAGTGCTGCACCAGATGGTCTGGCCTCCACAAACCTGAACCCAGTGGAGATGTTTGGGTGAGACTGACTGCAGAGTGAATGCAAAAGAACCAACAAGTGCTCCGCATCTCTGGGAACTCCTTCAGGACTGTTGGAGAACCATTTCAGGTGAAATGGCATTCAGCTCAACGAGAAAATCCCAAACTTGTGCAAAGCAGTAATGTGCTGTCATAGTTTTGATGCCTACAATTTAAATACTCATGAAAATAAAGAAAAAAAACATTAAACGAGAAGGTGTTTTCAAATTTTAGACTGGTAGGGTATGTTGGTATATGTTCCGCTGGCACAGTGCAGTGTATAAACACAGTGGACGTCTTTTAATTATTTCCACACATTTATATCGTTTTTACTCAGTGTGCATTGTTGTGTTTCTTGAGGCTTTATTTTCACTCCAATTTAAAGAGGAAGTTTGTGTCACGGTCTCTGTAATATGAGCTTTTGTGCAAATTATGCAGGGGGAGAGTTTTAATGCAGACACTTGATTCTGCTCGTCTGAGCGCAGCATTTTCAGTTGGCTGGAGAAACCTGCAGACGACCGACTTCTTCTGTCTGCGGGGACTGAAGAGGTCACCTGGACGAGCGACAACACGTTTCTCCCACTGGAAACACTGAGCCCTGACAAACAGAGTCGAGTATCTGCAGCACGCAAAGTCAGCATATCTATTCAGAAGACTTGGAATACATGCTTGTTTCTTGTTGCTCATACAGACAAGTGGCAAATTAACAGGAAAAAACTGAACCCTACAGAGAGGGAACTCGCTGTAGGCCCCTCAGTGGTGATCCACTTCAAATCAATACAAAGTTATGCAGAAACATCAGCTTAATGATTAAATATTTTTGTCCTGATGGGAGTGGGCTCTTCCATGATGACATATCCCCAACCACTGAAAGGTCTTAAGAGGGTGAAAATGATGCAAATCACACGCTGTAACCTTTGCCACAGTATGCGACTCAATCTAATTGATCACTAATCCATGTGGGACTTTGCCCTCGACAACTATCATCAAAACAACAGATAAGGGAAATTTTTTTTTACAGTAAATATGGTCTTGCCCAAATCAGAGATTTAGAGAGTCGCTGCCAAACAGCACTGATGGTGTTTGTGGAGGCCCAACGCTTCATTTCAAACACTTCATTCTGGTTCTTCCATTCATTTGTCACTAGTTAGTGTGCCATGAAAAACAGCTGGCTGGTTTCTATCAGCAGGTTGAAGTCCAGATGTGGTGTGTGTCCTGAAAAGTCAATAAATGATGTTGATCGCAATGCTTCTCTCTGGCGCTGAGGCCTTGGACTCAGTCAGGTCCTTCCTGTGTGATCTTTTGTGCTGAGCTGGAGTTGTTCTTGTAAGAGGTCTGTTTGTTTGCCTATAAGACAAAGCGTGATGGATTTTCATACAGTAACATTTACATGAATGATCTATTCTCGGTGAAACAGGACTCTCACCTGGAGGCTCCGGCTGCTGGAGTTTTTCCTCATCCCGCTGGCACAGCAGATGTCCTGGTGCGTCATCGGGGCTGCTGCCTGAGCTACGCACATCTCCCAAATTCAAAAACAGAATTTTGGACACCAGACAAGTCACAGACAAGCACGTGCTCCTCAGTACAGACCAGCCGTTTAACACGAAGGACGAGATTTGTCCCACTAAACACGGAGGGGACGTCACGGACAGCTTCAGGACGCTCGCAGAGATTTCACCTTTAACCAAAGCGCTTTTGCGGATGTGTGCAGGATATTTTTCGGATTTAATCTGAATTATTTTAGAGCATTTATTATTTCCAGACAGTCCGCTCGCTAGTACGCGCGCAGGCGCAGCTGAGTGCGCGTGCCCTGGAGATTGCGAAAGTTTTGGGTAAGGTAATCCACTCACTGCCCTGGAAACTTTACCCCCCACTCTGTCCGACCTGTACGAAACAATCAGCCTTCTTCCCACCAGGACCACCACACACTCTCCGTGTGGAGAAGCCTCCGCCGCTGACGCCTGGTGTGAGCCGCTGCGCTCGCCCGGAGAGTCGCGCAGCGCCCCGCCGGCCAGTCCGAGGCCGTACGCCGAGCTGGCAGGCCGCTTGGCCGGCGGATTCCTCGTCCAGATATTCCCCCGGCACCGGAGAACAGCGGACAGGGCAGAGGCCGAGGGGGTGGAAGCCATGGTGATCGGTAGCGTCCACGTCTCTCCTCCTTAACGCCAGCCTCCGTCTAAACACTCACATAACCTTTAGAGGTTTATTTGCGTAAGGAGCGAGTCAGAGGAGGGTGGGGGGTTTCTTCTAGTCTGGTCCACGCGACTATATTTGCCTCGACTGTGACAGTGGGGGGTTTGTGTGGGTGTGTCTTTAGGCCAGAGCAGAACAAGCAGCTACTTTACACCCCGGAGTGGAAACACTGGATGAAAATGAGACAGATTTAGCAGGTGGATGCAGAGGGACTGGGAGACAAATGCAGTTTAGGTTTTTGAAGTAAATCCAAATGGGCACAGTTGCCCCGAGTGATCGATTTCTACGATCTATTTCTTCTCCTAAAAATAAAAAAGTAGTAGTGTGACACTTGAAGGTCTGAGACGCGGTCACAGGGGGCGGGTCACACAATTCTATATGAATAAAAACTTGTGTTAATAAATAAAAAATGACTCTGAAGAAACGCACAAAACAGCAATAAACAAGTTTCACCTACTGAATATTCTTTTTTCTCTTTTCGTTTATCATTTCCATTTAATTTGGAAATAGTAAAGTTTGCACTTCAATTTCATTTCAGTTCGTTTCCAAAATTAATTCGATTCTTTTATTTAAAATGTTTAAATACTAATGTTTTTAAACTAATGTAAAGTTTTTCCAGACTAACCTTTGGTCGTTACGTTCGTTATAGTGACCTTGGTCAGGACAATTACATAATAGTTGGACAATGAATGCAAACATTTATTGAGAGCACTTCCTGAAGGGGGCGCTACAGGTTAAGCTAGAATGCCCTGAAAAAATATTTTATAAAGATTTCTGTACTGTGTAAACTTTGTCCTGCTTTTTTAAAAAGCAATTCATACAGTTTCTGTAGTATTGTTGTATAATGTTACACAGTTTTGAGTAAGCTGAGCCCACACAGTCCTTGCTGTAAGCTTTTCAGTAACATTTAAATGATTAAAAATGTTAC